GAATAAACTTATTTAAATAAAAAATAGCATTTCATAATCCCCGTAGAGATAATCGATAGATTAGCTTTCAAACATATTGTTTGACTGGTTCAAAAACACGGTCGTAAGTCTCAAGAAAATCATAAGATTTTTAACCTTCAAATTAACAAGGTAAATGTGGATGAAGCGGCGCGACCGAGTGGATAATCGGCAAATAAAAATGTGTTTTAAAAATGGCATATTCTTTATTTCAACTGTTTTTTAAATGTAAAAGGCCTCAATATTTGAAAAAAAATAAGTAGGAAGCGTTCACCATTATTTGTCAAGCTGGCTCCAATAATTATTAGTATAATAAGAAATTTTTATTAGGAGCCACTTGGTGTATTTGAGGCAATCTAAAGCCGAATGGCTGTTGTTCATATCGTTCGGCTTTTTAATGATGTTTCACCTTTTTTTATGAGGTTTTTTGATGAATTAATAACTAATAACTAATAACTTGTTATCGAAGGAAAGGTCTAGCCTGAAGCTCGAGACGATATGAGCAGCAATAAATCGGCTATAGATTGCCTCAAATGATATAAATAATGACTAAAATTTTAAAGGAAATTACTTAAGTTGGTTCAGCTATTATTATTTAATGTGATTTAAATATTAAATATGGTTTAGCTAATTTTTTTAAATATGATTTCCAAAGTTATGGAAAAGATTAGAATTGGAAATCTGCTGCCAAAAACATTTTTCCATATAAAGAAAATCGATTTCGATTACAGGTTATGGTTATACCTTTTGAATTTCATCGCATTAGGAATTAAAACTGAGGAATTTTTAAATGTAAATTTCTTTTTAAATATATTGCTTACTAAATATTACCATACTACCGTAATCTCTTACAAAGCCTTTTGAATGGATCTTAAGAATTCCAGGGATTCTCAGGTCCTATTTTGGGAATTATTGTATTAAGTGAGCATCAATAAAATAAGCTCTTTAAACCTCATCATCCCACCTATGTCTTTAATATTTCAGAACTTAATTAGGTAGCTTCATTTTTCGAGGATATTAACTACAAATTTCCTTTTAATCCCCAGTTTACGGTAAATTATGGCCAAATGGCTTTAAATTGTTATAACAAAAGGGCCTATAAAATATGAAATATCTGGTTTTACTAATAAAGTTCTGTCAGATATAAAAATGAGTGCAGACCTCCGGCAAGGAATAGGTATAATTAGTTTCAGAAAATTTTCAAAATTTCATTTGTTTAATGATTATAATACTTCGAAATCACAAGTAATCTGGAAAAAAAACAGCTTTATTAAATTTTTATTCTAGCATTTTGAAATATGCATCAAATGATTTCGAGAATATCATTTCATTTTAGCCATAAAAAATTTTAAGAATATTTAAAAAGAAGCTTGAATTTTGAATTTAATGTTTGAATTTTTTTTCGAGCAGTTTGCCAGCTAGAAGAAAATTTTGCTGTGTAAAAAAATTATATAATATAAATAAATTCATAAATAAATTTCAAGTAATATTTAGTCCAATCCAACCTATATTCTAAACTGAAAAAAAGTTATAAAAATCGAATGGGATAACTCCAATCAGTAATGAAAATAAAAAATTTGATTAAATTAAAATTGATAAGTTGATAAATTCATTAATAAGAATGCGAGCGTGGATAGATAGTTGAAAAAACTTTAAACAATAGTAAAAAACAATAGCATTTAACAACAAATGACCTATCATCAATAAAGCTAAAATTAGGACATAATGTAAAAATCAATTAGTGTATTACTTTCTATTTTTTTATTAATAATTTTAAAAAATATAAATAAAACGATAGTTAAATTGCAAAAAAGGTATCAGAAAAATGTGAAGATTTGAGGCCCCCATCTATATTGGTATTCTAACAATAATTTCGCTTAGTCCAGAGAAATTATTCCCTCCAATTTGAGACATTTGTGAATGCTATGTTCCCTATTTCTTGTATTTTATGCAAGCATAATTTTTTTTTTTGTAAAAGTGATTGGATAATATTAATCTCATTGCGCGACATTAAAGAAACAAGAAATAGCCCGAAATCCTGTTAGAAAAAAATTTACCTTTTTGATGGGTAATATTGACTGGGCTATTAGCATCCATTAATTGTCGACGGCTTAAGTTGGATGGTGATTGTGTTGTAGCAGTATTACCCATAAAATACAGTAAAAAAATTCTGGAAGTGGTATAATAATAATAATCTTGTTGGCCAAAAAAAAGAATGATTGAGTAAGTATGAATACGAATATGGAAGAGAGGTTGGATGGATAAGCTTATCTTATTTTGGCTTTCTCCTCAAAATGACCCTTCTCTTCTATAAATAAATTCAAACGATTTTCCGTACGATTTGTTACTCTTTCGCAGGATTTTATTGAAATATACGATCATTTATAAATTTTTTTACGCCTTCATTACTGTTAGTTATCGGTTAAGGGACGAAAAAAATGAAAATTACTTTCGCTCGATTCTACAAGATGTAATTTTAGAAAGTCTCGAACTAGTTATTGATATATTTCAGTTAATATATTTTAGTATTTTATAGATCATAACGAAAATAGCTGTGCAAACAATCTTGTTCCGGATTTTTTAAATGGGACACTGATTGACAATAAGTAACCGAATAATTGATCAATTTATTGGGATAAATTGAATCGATTATTCTTTCCTTGTCTAAGTCTAAATTCTTCAATATTTACCATACTGAACAGCTAAATAGCTACTATAAAGTTAATTACTTTACTTATTTTTACTACTTACTAATTACTTCTATTAGTCTAATTACTTTTGTTCGATTCTATAAGATACAATCGTATATCTCAACAAAATCCCATCTACAGTATTGCCCAAATATTTCAAAAAAATCAACTGTTTTTCTCCTCGCCTTGCAGGTAAAAATACAAAAATACTCACCTGAACTATACAAACGAATACAAATTATCCCCACCGAGCATCCAGAACCAGCAAATAAAAATTTTAAAACATTTAAAAAATACCACACCAAGTAATCTCTTTGAAATTTCGGGTGACCCCAAATTTGTGGATGCTAAATAAGTTATCCTTGATTAATGGTTATTATCAGATAAAATCAATATTTTTAAAAGAAAAGTCGATGAGAAAAATTGGAAAACAGATCGATCTTTAGCTATAAAAAGGTAGGAAATATGATTAAAGCTATTATTTTAAAATCCGAAGCTAAAGACTAAACGTTTTTTTCTTTGCAAGCTTGGAAATAATTTATCAGAACATTGAATTAATCCTCTCTTTTTCTCTTTCGAAAAATGAAGCCATTGTTAAGTTATTTCTTATCTGCATATCAAATATCAAGAAACCTCTCTCGTTCTTCATTTATTACCTTCTTCCTAAGACTGCTCTCTTTTCAGAATTTCTGCTGTAAATTTTGAGTGAAAATCTTATCTGATCAGTTGTTGGAAAGCATTTATTTCGCTTATCTAATTATTTGGATTAAAATATGATGTATTAATGTGAAGCATAGCAAAATAGTCATGAAATCTTAAAACTTAAAACTGTAAAAATGAACTTATATTGATTTATTTTCATTTTATTTTTATTTTTATTTTTATTTTTTCATTTTTTATTTTATTATTTATTTTTATTTTCATTTTCATCATCTTAATTCTATTATCCCAGTTTTTTCTTTTTTCTTTAAATTCATTTATCTCTCATAATCACAATAGCTTATCAGATTTTCATTGCAAATCTGACTAGCCCAATTAAAACTAAGAAAATTCTTATGGATACCATATTATAAATACTTTCAGTAGTTATTACTAAATGCATATTTTATGCTAATCTCCATTTTTTTTCTTCTTGAGAAACAATTATAACAAGCTTCCAAAAACCTTTCCCAAATTTCCTGGAAAAGAAGATAAAACAAATAACGTTAGAAAATATGCCTCTATCGTTCTAAGTGATCAACTTTTTTCATTGGAAATTCTCGAGCGAAATTCGCTCATACCCAGGTTTTTTTCCAATCAAATTTTCAAAATATTCTTTTACCCTTTTTCTTGCATTGCTTCAGCAGATAAAGTAATTATCTAAAGTTTCAATGTTTTTAATGTTTGATATATATCAGTTTATTTCTAGAGGTTTTCCAATTTAATAGCCAAGCAGGTCAACCAACTTAAAAACGCACCGTAGAAATGGTTTTAACAAGAAAATCAACTAGCTACCACTGGAAATTTCTTTAATCACAGAAACAATATGCTTATAAGACAAACCATTCTTTTTGAGAAATTTTTTGCGAGGAGTTTAATTTTTTATTCGTTTATTATATTTAATTATATTAATTAATTATATAAATTAATTATATTTTCTTTAAAATGATTTTTTTTTCTTCGCTAAGTACTCTTCGACATATCCAATAATAAAAAAAATTTGCAAAAAGTCTGATTATTTAATTGTTCCATATCTGAGAAGAAAATTAATGCAGCAAATTGCAAAGACAGAAAATATGTAGAAAATAAAAATAAATAAAAAACAAAAAAAATTTAGGACAAAAATTTAATGGAGAAATCTTTATTGATGTAGATTATTGGTTATAGATACCTGAACAAATTCGAATCGACTAGATCAACTGTACAAATATGCTTCCATTTCATAGAAGACAAATTTTATGAAAAATATCGTTACAAAAAAGGAATATTAAGCGGCCAGTTTAATTCCTAAGATTCATCTCCTCTTTTCATCGATAAACGCTATTACTTGTGGCCAATTCTTTGGTGCTTCACAATCAGAGTACTTACTTTATGTAATTTGTGGCTAAGAAAAGTTTTTGCCTGGATCTTTCAAATGCATTTACATCGTATAAATAAAAATACTAAGCATAGTCTCATAAAATTGTTCGCAATAGAGTACGCAGCTCGTCCTTATGCACATTGTTTGCAAATGAAGATAAATGGTGATTATTGACTTATATCAAAAATATAATAAATCTTATTAAAACAAAATTTTTTAAAAAAATGGTAAAACTAACCATAATATTGCTGCCTTTCGTCAAGCCATTTCGTTAAATTTTGATATTGCTCTAAAGCATAGTTGAATGTGCTGATAATGTGTTCAGGCAAATTTGATGTGCCATATAAAGCCAAGTAATTCACCCAATATGATTCCCATTGCTCATATGTAAGATTCTTAGCTAAGCAGCATATCCACTGGTCCCAAATAATTGAATTCGAGAGCTGCCGATAATTCCCCGCTTGTTCATAAACATACTGGTGACGTATTGTGTCGAGTTGCATTTGAAGGTATTCTTCGAAAATCACATACCAGCTGTGGGAACCATTTTGGCTAAGTGAAAATAAATTTAATGGTAAAAAATGTGGGTAAGATAATGATGTTGAGGGGATAGGATCGGACGGATGTCGAAAATCCTCTTCTTCTGATTGTTCTATCTCGTGATTCATATTTATCGTTACAGTATTTTCTTCCATAACTGTTCAGCTGTGTAGAACTGAAATATTACATAATACTGATTTAAAGCTGTTTCATATCGCCCAGTCGAACTTTAAATATTTGTTCATGCAAATTAAGGATCTAATATGAGTGTATTTTTACTGAAAACGATGTCCAAAATCACGGGAAACATAATAGGAAAAACTTATATGTTTTAATTTCTGGACCATCTGTGCTTTTGTGATCGTCATTCTAGTATGAATCTCTCAGAAATCAATCAAGTCAAGAAACGAAAAGTTTTATCGAGAAACATTGGTACTGAAAGGTTTAGAAATTATCTGCAATTTTCATGAATTATCACGAGGAAGACTAATTAACATCCACATAACCTTTTAAAAATCATAAGCAAGAATCTCTACAAAAAAATAACTTATACATCACATTTATATTAATATCAATTCTTATTCTAAGGAGTCCACCATTTCTGGTTCGGCTTCAGGACTGGTTTGCTTCGAAAATGAGGATGAGAGGATAGGACAGGTAAGTCTCTAATCTCATCTCGAATGCATATGGGAATGATAGAATGATTTAAAATCGTATTCCAATAATTATTGAAATGAAAAAATCGATTTGACTGAATAAATTGAAAAAAATTGAAAGAAATGGCCGATATATTTTTTCCTAAATTTTGAATATTATTGAGGTAATAACTGTTATTTATTATCACTTTTATTATGATAACATTATTTCATTTTATAAAACTTTTTCGAAATCAAGAAACTTTGTTGAAAAACTTTGTAAAAATTTTTTTAAATGGATCATTTAAAATTTAAAAAAGAGGCAAAAACGAAAAATGAATCGTGATGAATCTCTTGATCCAACTATCTATCCTATTTAATATTTTAACTTTCCTCTTCGTTAAAAATAATTCAATCAAAATTTTACTTCCTTGTTTGCATAAAATCTTTTAAAAAAATGAAGATTTTAAAAAAATATTTATGAGCGTAGGCAAAAAAAAAAATTTAGAGCAAATAAATAGCACACCACAAACAGCAAACTCATAAGATTATTAATAAAAATTCTACAGCTCTTCCTTAGAAGATGGCACTTAGCGACAATTAGCGGTAATAAGGAAAACACTGGCATTATATTTTATATGCTGAAAAAGTACAAAATAAATTTTATAAAACTGAATCAGAATAAAAGTATTCAAAAATATTATCGAAACACATATTTATATATGGATTTGAATTTATAAATTTCAAGGCAAGGTTTCTAAATTAAAAATGAAGCGCAACATCCTGTAAAATATTTTAAAAAAATATTAAAACTTCCGCATTCATATCTTTTTGCATAGAGGTAAATATTTGCTTAAGACAATGTTTATTTTCGATTGAATATTGTAATAACAATAATTAATGCTTTATTTATTAAGCTTGTTGGCAAGATAGCTTGATGGATGGCTCCAATTATTGGGAAGCAAAAGTTTGGATCCTGGTCTCGACGACAAGAGCCAGTCATAAAAAATCGGAACACCAAAATAATTCGTGGTAAAAATTTCTAACCATAGTAACAGCACGCGAACATAATCAGAAAAGCTGAAGCCAATTTAAAAAGCTCATTCGGTAAAATTAATAATTTGTTGCAAATGAAACTAATCAACGTTGTTTATGAATAAAAATGGTTAGAAAGTTTGGCGTAAATTTTTTTTCTGTTTCTATTAAATTGAACAAACAGTAAATAAAGAGCAGTCAAAACTCATAAGGATAATTGGGAATTTAAGCGAAATTCAAGCTTGTCAGACTAATTTCTTTGAAAACAACGCATTATAGTTCGCGCAGTCGTCATCCTTAAAAAATTTTAAATTTTATTTCTTGCATTTTTTTATATTTTTGAGTTCTTGAAAAGACAATCATACACTTCAAACCAACATTCTTGAAATTCATTCTTGAAATTCATATTCAGTATAATTTACTTGTAGTCAGGAAAGATTTTGAACGTATAAGTGGACCAGTAATATATAGATTTAGATGGGAAAAAGGAATGGCTTCTATTATTGTCGACGATGGCACCAAATCGCACAGCTTGGAAACGTCTTACCCTTGTAGCTCTTGCAGCCATTCCATCCTAACCAGCAGTGGACTCTTAGAAAGAGAAAATACGAAGATAGATATTTGTTGTCATATAAATTTGTTGCTAAAATACCATAAAATGGAGCTACGCCATTGGCTTAAGTTTTATTTAGGTATTAATAAGAATATTCCTAAGCTTTTTTCCTCATCTTTCCAACCATCGATGGACTTCGCTGTTAATTAAGTTTGCATCCTTAATTCTAAATTCTAAATTTATTCAACTATAATTAATATAATTGTTGCTATTCGTGCAGCAAATTACATTTAGATAGATAACCAGTGTACAAATTTTTTCCGGAAAAACGTTGGGCCGCAAATGAAGCTCATGTAGGCTGTTACCACTGTTTATTTTTCGATCTAATCTCCACTATCTCCACGTAGGGTGCTTTCAAGCGATAGGAGAGGCTCTTGTTCCTTTTAACTTTTACTGTCGATGAGTAGGTTTAATCGGCGTTTGTGGGAGAATCGCAGGTTTGGGGGATTATTTTTGGCCTAGCAAATTAATCGATTTTTGTAAGACTTCTGAACAGTTTGGCATTTGGTTATTCTGTCCTCAAAATTTTACGCTTCGAATATTTGAAATTTTTCGACTTTTTTGCAGACTTATGAAAAAAGATTTATGGAATAGAACGATGAGCGACGATGAAAGCTTCGAAAGGAAACATGTCGCTCAACTCGTTTCCGGTGGAATTTTTGGCGTACTTTATTCAGAAAATTGTCCGAAGGGATATTCGATGCGGGTTCACACTTGCACATTCTAAGTAAAGTTGATGAGGTTGATGGCAGCGGTGGTTTTCATTCTCAGAACTCTTCAGTTATTGCCACCACTGAGATTCATTTGAACGATAGTGATTGGAAAATAGTTTTTTTTTAATTTCTTTAAAAATCTGAGTTGCCAAACTGGCTCGCAACCCATTTTTCTTCCCTGCACCTTTTCAGCAAATGTCGAGTGAAATTCCGCCTCCTTCCTGATGATGGCGTTCCTGTTGATTGGAAAGACTGCCTTAGGCGGTCGTAATTTCCTCTCAGGCCTTTGTATATTTTTTTTCGAAGTTTCAAATTCCTCGTAAAAAAGAATATTTTCTCCATTTCTCACTCCTAACAACTTTCATTCTTACTGGTTAGATTGGCTGCAAGGCTTAGACTCTCAACTTCTTAACGTTCCCACCAGGAGGATGTTGCAGGTGGCCCTCCCTAAGTTATAGGCTCCGTCGCCATTCGATGATATATATTTGATAAAAAATGAATGCAATTATATGAGATTTGATGAGGACGTCGACGATACGTAGAATTTATCTCAAATAGGAGTGGTCAAAAAATAGTTTTTTAATGTCTTTCCTCCACTCTCTTTGGCCTTATTTCATAGCTTTACAACGAGAGATTGTGCGTACTGCAGCTGTATAGGTGTGAATTTTCGTTTTTATAGTAATTTCACGGTGATTCCGTAGAGAGTTTTGCGAACGAAAAATTGCGTTTCTAGCTGTGGTTATCTGGAGTGCAGTTTCGTCTTCCGCTTGACCATTAGAATGTTAAAGTCTTTTAAATCCAAGATATTTGAGGTTTCGCGCTATCTCAATCCATGATAAATTGATAAAGATGGGTGCCAATGTCTGATATATATGACGAAAAAGCTTTCGATTTTATTTACTTATATCTTATGTTCGATTTTTGTTGAAATTGTCGTTATTTATTTAACATCATTGTTCTTCGTAACTAATAATAAAAATAATACGTGATCAACGTATTCAAGGACATCTCTTGAGGGCCGATAAGCTTATTCTAATCTATGCTATACTAATCCTTATTTTGATCTGTAATTCTCCATATATACATATTTACGCCGGTGTAATCTGGTCGAAAATAAATAGATAATGATCTTTTGTGTCACATTCCATCATTCTCCAAAGCGCTTTATCAGTTGAGTCGAAGTCGGCGGCGAAATCGATGAAGTTGATGGTGGAATGCCTATATTTGAAACAATGTTCCAGCACCCTTCTTTCTTTAAATTATATCAACTGTGAACGGTCGTATAAACATTGCACTGCATTATTAAGTTTCGGTCGATTATTAAAATATTTATAACTAAATCCGATCCTTACAATATTTTTTTTATGTAGTAATTTCTTGAAACTTCGAAAGGTTACGCACAAATGCAATTGTGTATTTCAATAAATTTTCGTGTTTTTTCTAATTCTTGTTATATTTGAAAGGAAGAAATCATGACATTAAAAATTCGTGTGGCTTCTGGAAACCCACCTGTCTCCAAGTGTTTTTTATGGTAAGTGTGATCATCTCTGAGAATCCTTTCATAAAAGGTAATAAATACATGGTTCATACTCAGTATTTGACAGTTTTAAGCGTTTTTTGTTATCGAAGTCCATTTTCGACCGATGGCCCGGATAAAAAATTTGGCTAGTCAAAATATAAAGCATTGAATAAAAATGTTAAAATGTTAAAAATGTTAAAAATGTTAAAATTTTCTTTTGCTTTGTTATATCAAGTCCTATATAAGTTCTTTTTTCCAAATTCTTTAAAATTTTTGAATATTTCAATATTTTTGCTTTTCACTTTATTTGATAGATGGATTTTTTTTTAAATATTTTTTTCAGCATATTTCTTATTGACCATGCCTGCACTTTTTGATTAAATGATGCTCGTGAGCAGTTGATGAATTCTTCTGAATTGTTGGATCGGATATGTAATGCTTTTAATATCAAAGTATTTTTATTTTGAAAATTTGAAATTCTTTTTTTGATGGCCTATTTTATTTATTTTCGGCCAGTAACAGCTAGGAATAATTTTGATTTCTTTTAATTTTTCCTAGTCGATTTTTAAATATATCACCCATTTCACTCACTAATTTTTATAGGAATATTATAATTTTTGTAAGGAGCTTGCTTTCTCTTTTTTTAATCAGTTCTTTAAATAATTAAAGTAATTAATTAATAGAAAGGATATAATAAAGACGTAGATGGTGAAGATTGCGAAGATGCATTAGCAGTGAGCGATAACATCACATATAATTCAGATCAAGAATATGTATCAGGTTCCCTCTTTTTATTTTCATCATTTATTCATTTTGTAAAGAAATGGGTATAATAATTAAAATCATAAATTATATTCAAATTCAAGGATGAGAAGTGCTTATGGTGATGCAACTGATTGTGTATGCTCCAGATGACTCTTCGGTGAACCTTCTATCTTAGTAGGTAATGGAACTATCTAAACCAGAAATGATACGTATTTTTAAAAGAAGACGAAAATTTTTTAATATAAAAAATGAAATTTAGAGGATGTGGCAAAAATTAATAAAGAATCAAAATTAATCAATGTTTAGTTGACGATATACTCGAGAGGATGTGGAAATATATACACACTTATACTTTGAAATTTGCTAATAAGGTTTTTACTTCAGATTTTCAGGAATTTACTAATTTTATCTATCATTTAATTATAGTCAGATATACAGCTGCTTTTATGAAAGCTTTAACCAGGAGTTGGATGAGAATTATATTCCTGTTTGGTATATGCTTGATGAATTTGGCTTAAGTGTTGGTCATAGTGAAAAACCAAACTGTCGCATTGTTCCTTTTTATTATGTTGATCAAAATCTTGCCTACACTGTTCTTTTTCCGACAGCAAACAATGGTTGATGGTTAGTTTATGACTGAATAATGTGGAATAACTTTCAAAATTCCAATTGATGTTTTAATATTTTTCTTTTTTATTTTATCAGGACGACAAAATTTTTGGAGGGATTGCTTTTTCGAAGGAAAAGATTACCCCAAAGGATTTTGTAGCGACGATATTCCATTCTAGTGGTCAGTGGAATCAGTCAAACCAGACCAGTTTTGTGCTTTTGAAAAAGGAGAAAAAATTCCATGCCATGCCAAAATGCTGTAGCTTCTTCAAAATCATAAAAGTTGACGATTTTTATAGAAATGGTGACGCGCGATTTTGTTGACAACAAAATTTGGTTGAAAAATGCAGATTGGCGGAACATTTTACTGCACCCTTGGATTCCTGTCGACTTTACTAATCAAAAAATTGAACATATTGATCCATCCGACGACTTCTTTTTTGTTTCCTCGTTTTCCTTATATTTGCTTCTTAATTTTTTCGCATCCTTTTTCAATTGGCATAAAATAATTGAAATTCTTGAATTTTTTTCATTAAATGATTTTTGCAAATTTCAGGAGGAACATATTGTCGATATTCGATATTCTACCTGTGGATGCAAGTGGTTATTTATCAGGTATCACTCAGGAAGAAAATGTGCGTATGACAATGATCAATTTATTGCAAATTTACAGGGTATCAAGTATGAGAGAGTCGGTACAATTGAAGAAGCCGATATAGTGTGGCATCAACATTTCCACAATTATAAGTAAATCTAAAATTTTTTTAAATGAAAATTGTAATTTTTATGGAAATGGAAATAATATGATAATAAAATTGTTTTTGACTTTAGAGATTTAAATGAAAAGAATTCAAGAGCACTGATCAATCAATTCCTCTGCGAAAACTTGCTAACTGTAAAGGGTTTATTTGCTGCTAGTCTTAGTTTATTTTATAAAAATGTTCCATTTAATGCGGAATTAATATCTTGGCCACCCTTGTGGTTTAAAACAACCTTTATCTTGGATTATGAATAACCTCAGTTCATTGCTTATTTCCAATAGATGGAGGCCAAGTTGGTCTTTTATATTTTTTATGTTTCATTTTTATGCTAATGTAATTCAGTAGTTTTTTCGACTTCGACTATTATCAAGCTATTTTCAGAAAATTTGACAACAAATGGATTATAAAACCTTACTAGCTCGTGGATTAGATATGTATATTACCGACCATTTACCCTGCATTATTCGATTGATGGAATCTGGTCCTAAAGTAGTTTTTTTCATCTTAATAATTTCAATTTTCGGTTTCATTGGTTTTATAATCCATTTGATAAAATTTTTTTCAGAACTGAATTATTGATTGAGAAAAAAAGCAACTATTATTTCAGATAGCTTGCAAATATATTCATCGCCCTGTTTTGTTTCGACGTCCTGATAATGGAAATTTGGTGAAGTTCGATTTACGCTATATCGTTTTTCTTCGAAGCTTACGTCCTCTTGATATTTTGGTATACAAAAATTTCTGGATTCGGTCAGCATTAAAGTAAGTTTAACGTTCTTTTCTATTATTTTTATTTGTTTTCACGCATGAATATAATATGTTTAATGAATTTTATTGATGGAAAATTCGTTCGCTAATAGAAGTTATATACTAATTTTTTTTGATGAGATTTTGATTGATAATACCTTTATTAATATTAGCAATAACGTCAGTTAACGTTTTTTTCTTTTTCTTATCATTTCATTCTATTTATAGTAAATTCTCTCTTCAAAATCTTGATGATATATATGCACATTTCACAGTTTTTAATTATATGGATGGTGATAAAGTTTTGAATGTAAGCTTATGGTTGCCGTTACTGAAAATATGTTATTTTTTATTTTTATTTATCTATCTTTTCCTAATTTAAGTCGTAGAAAAATATTTATTGCTTTATTTTATTTTATTTTTACTTTATTTATTTTCTAGATGCGGTGTGAAGAATTCATTGTTAAGTTTGAGGAACAGTAACAAGATTTGAAATGGTCTGTTATTCAAGAGAAAATTTATAATGTTATAAAAGAAGTTATAATGTTGGCGTCTAGGTATGTATTATTTTTTCATCAGTTTTTTTTGTACCATATTTTCTATATTCTTATTTTTTCTCAGTGGTGAGCCACATGCATCAATGGTACCAAATGGTCAGTCATGCGCGATTTATGGTTTTGATATCATGTTAAAGTGGGATTCGAGTGGTATGAATATTTGTTCTTTATTTTATGGTTGATTGGTTGATTTTAATTAAAGTATTTTTCAGAAGTGCTTTTTTTTGCAAATTAATTGTTAATAACTGGTTTAGTAATTAGATAATTTTTGTTTCAATAATCTTTTAATCGTAATAACTTATTTAAGATATAATCAGACGTGATGTTCAAGTTTCATTTATAGAAGCAGATTTCATGCCGGTCTGTGTTAGAGAATGTTTTTTTTATCCTGATTTCGCTGATACTGTATTTCGAATTTTATTCACCAATAAGTACGACGAAGAAACTGGTAAATCTTAGCAACCGTTAATTTTTTTTTTACAAAACCCCATAAAATTTTTTATCTTTTTCAAAAAAGATTAAAAATAGAGGAAAAGATAAGAGATAATTTTTAGTTGAGTGGTTTTTTGCTGTTAATGGCCGCGTCAAAAAATGATTTCAAAAATTTTTAATATTGCAAAGAAATTCAACTTTTATATTTCATATTTATTATTTATATTTATTATTTATGTTTTATATTTATTATTTTTATAAAGGAATGCTTGAATATAGTTCATGTACAAATTTAATGAATTAATTAGCCGAAAATTAATCTTTTATACTGAAAAAAAAAATTCACTGTTCTAATAAAACGCTGCGAAAATTGCAAATGACTAACATACAAGATACATTTTTGCTTTTATTCTCACTTGTTTTTTCTTAAATTTCTTAAAATTTCCACTCATTTTTGTAGGTAATGAATCGTGTTTCATTGTAAATGCCATAAAAAAATCTGTGCCAGGAATTAAAGGCCTTATGCTTATTTCCTTTAAATTATAACTATTATTTTTTTACGCGTCTGATCATTAGGCTTTAGTTCATTCGTTTTTTGAACATCGATTTTGCATACCAATACTGAAGTAAATTCTATCTATTTTTATTCAGATTCCTATAGTTTCAATGGAAATTCGATTAGAAAAAATAAATTCGATATGTGAATTGAAAAATGAAGGAACTCTGAAAAAGTAATAAAGAAAAAGTAAAATGAACAGAATATGCCTAATTCAAGGAAATATAATTCACAAAAATATAAAATAATGGCAAAAAAAGCATTTAAGGTAATTGTACAAAAGATAAGAGGTAAAATGTTTCGTAAGGCACTGGTGCAGATCTGTATTCAGTCGTTCATAATGAAAATACATTTTGAGGGATATCTACAGATAAAGCGGCTAAATGTAGGTCTGTCATTCGTGATGTTATGTTATGCTGTTGGCGATATCTACAAAAAATATATATTATGGCATAATTCGCTTTATTTTTCTTCTCTGTCTTCTCTTGTATCTTGAGTAAGCATTTTATGTATAATATCCCTAGCTGTTTGCTTTTGTCCTTCGGTCATTCTCGAGACTATATCCAAACTCGCTTCATACTGTCTGCTTGCATAATCCCTCTGAATTTTCAATTAATCATCTTCAATCATCAAATAGTTCATAATTATTTTAAAAGCATTTTCCACACAAAATCGTTTTCAATACAGATTGTCTTTCTTTAACTGAATTCATGGAAAATATAACTGGTAAAAATTTACTGAATGTTGTGTTTTTTTTGCTTTTAGATCGACGAAAGAATCTGAGCTTCGAATACGATTCAGTATTTCTTCACTGAACTCAATGTCATATATCTAGAATGAAAATTCATGAAAATTTACCAGCTTTAATTTTTAAACATTGCCCTTTCAAGTATATCTGCATCCCCTATATCCTTTATCACTTTTTTTTCAAATTCCATCACAGTTTGCAAATATCTTTAATTAAATTATACGAAATAATCATAAGATCTTTAAATATATAGTATTCGCACATTATGAATGAATTTTACAACTAACGCTTCTGACTCCCGCTGAATTTCTAAATGCAATATGTCCAGATCCCATTTCTGGCAAATGTACAAGATTTTCCCATGGCGTATATAAAACATTTAATTTCTTTTCACGATTCTAAATCAAAATCAAAATTTTAAAAAATAAATAAAAATATAGCATAAATAACGTAGTTTTAATATGAAGGTCGTCGAAAATTAAAAAAATCATGGCTGGAATCCACCTTTATCTTCTATTCTCAAATAACCTCAAAAAAAATCTGCTTTTTAATGGAAAAAAAATTTCTTCAAAAGAAACTTAAAGAAATTTCTTTCTTTAAAAGAAGAAACATACGAAACGACAAGTTGATAAAGTTAATTGGGTACATTCTTCCAAAACCTTTCGTGGAATTGTTTGAAAAGTAAATAGGTCAAGTCTTAACTTTAAATAAATATGAGCACTGTGGAATCCTTCAACGCGAAAAAAGATACATTTCGGACAACCTTCTCTGTAATAAAATATTTACGGTGATCTGTTTGCTGCCAGTTAATCTTACGCAATTCAAATAAAAAAGCCCCAAATAATAGAAACTAGGATTACACGTTTTGAAGGCACTATTGATAAAAATTGAACTATCATGATTTTTGCATGTAGATAAAGGACTACCATGTTTTTATTCGACTGTAGGGATAAGATTACAGAATGATTGTTGATCATTCTAAACATCAGGTATGAAGATTCTGCCTCTAATTCATCATCAAAATCTAAATAACCCTAACCCAATTGGTGACCCAAATGACTGGCAAAATATCCAGCAGCATTAACATGGTATGGAGTGGGGAAATAATGGGCGTTTACTTAAATATAAATATAATTATCAAAATCTAGTAAAAATAATAAAATTAATTTTACTTGACATATTCATCTTTATCTTGCTCTTCATATGCAACATGCAATTCACAAATCGGATCTGACGTAAAATATTTTAGGATCATTCTGAAGAAAAAGTGTGATAAGATGAAAAAAAAGAAAGTGACCACTGCTTCTTATTTCAAAAATCGGGTAAAAGTGAATGGAATGATTTAATTCATTTTAAAATTTAACAAAATAATTAATTTTAAATAAGTTAAACTATCCAAGGGAAAAAAATTTCAATCCGTTTTACAGAATTCAGTTCAGTAATTTACTAATTTCTAATTTGTTATAAGAAACACTATACAGTAACACTAATAATGCTTATAAATATAAATAATGCTTATTAAAGTCTCTACACCTCAAGCCAAATCTTAAAGAAAAAGGCTAAACCAAGATAGAACTGAAATTCCGCAATTAAATATTCATCAAAGATTTTAAGACATACCAATTTTAAGGAGCGGGAAATTTTCATTTTGACACCAAATGCCCCTTAAAAAACATTTCCACACATCAGAAATTTGCATACTGCAAGAGATCATTTATTTGCCTGGAAAATATATAAAAACTATTATATTTAGTCTACTCCGCTTCAAATAATTAGATGTATTGCTAAAGAAAAAAATGGTGGATGAATGAGCATCAACCAACCGCATTAAGTGAAAAAAAATTCGAACTGCAATTTGAGATACCAACTGTATAAATACCAACGAAATTAATTAACAGTTACTAACAGTATTAGTATTTATTAACATCATATAAATCATGATAGAGGGCTACCGCCGCTTGCAATCATCCACTATCTTCATGATAGAAAACAGCAATTTTCAATAACACAAGACGCTTTTCAAGAAAATACCGTTTTATTATCCTCATAATAGTCGAAAACTACCACTTTATCAGACTAGCAGTTGATTAATTTATTCGCCATCACCGCCATCCATCAAGTTACCATATTTAGTTATTATTTATTTGAACCAAATAGGCTAAAAGCCATTTACCTTAATAAAGCTTTAACAATTTGTGGGCGAAAATATGGCTTTATTCACAAAATAAGAAAATAAAAATTTAAAAAATGCCATTCAATGATTGATACTTTCAATATACATATTGAAATATGCTCAAATGTCTTAACCAAAATAAATTTTAAATTTCAAATCTAAAAGAGCACATATATACTAAATTCAAATAAAGAAAAAACTAAAGTTATTATGGTGAAATAATAACAATTAAATACGATTAAATGTGAAATGCGTATGCGTGAATTTTTTTCAATTTTTAGCCAAATTTTAAAATATTACAAAATATAAAAAAAAATCGTTTACGAAAATTTATGCATTATTTACAACAAGTAAACTTAAGATTACAATAAATGAAGATATTTATTCGATGATGTGAGAAGAATCATTCAAGATAATCCAAATCCGATGGAATACCAAATTGCTGGTCTAGAGTTTTCATATCAATATTGAATTTCAGCCTGCACCACTTTTTTATCGCAAATATGTTATCTGTTAAATCAAACATGTTATCTAAAATGCCATTTTTTGAGCAAAATATATACTGCGCCATTTTATAATATGATAACATAGAAAACAAACAGCATTAAAATTTTTTAATAAATTTTTTATAAGCATTTTTTTCATTTCTATAAAGAACTTATGAAATTTAATTAGAATTACATTGCATTTGGCGTTCTCTGACCGCGACATAGATTAATGATATATTCAAAAATTGGAAAATGCGAAAAATGGGGCAATATATATTTTATAAGATCTAAGATAACTAACCTGTCCACCGGTTTATGCTTTCAAGTGTTTTTTCACATTCTTTCTTTAAGCTATCAATGATTTCAGAACCACACTTATTCAGCCCGTCGAGTCTTAAACTGAGATTTTGCTTCTCCTTCGTCAACTCTTGAAAATGATGAAGCAAAGCAGTTCTCGCCTCATTTTCCTAAATATACCATCATTAAAGGGAAAATATAAAAAATAAATAAATCCGAACTGAATATATGTGGTTTAAAAATTGAAAGAAGGAATATAAATGAAATACATGAAATAAAATAGCATATTTGCAAAAAACATGAAAATTTTACTTCTCTTCCACATTTCGATATTTCGATTTGTTTTTTGATTTCGCAAACTTTTTTTTCCGCATCATTGATATTCTTTTCTAAATTTTCTAATTTTACTCGTCGCTGCAAAAAAATAATTCTAAAAATTTTTCAATTCTAAAAAAAATTTTCAAAATTATTTCATTATTTCATTTTCATTTTTCAATTATTTCATTTTTTGAAGAATTTATGAATAATAAAACTTGGCAAGAAATGGTGCTTGAAGATTATCTGGTACTCATAAAGTATATAAACATAATCATTTTCATATTCAAAATTATTATCAATGAAGATGTTTTCTTAGTTAAATAGTTTCTACAAATTACCTATCTTATAAAATTTAAAAAGCATATATCAGAAATTTAATTTAATTTTTTAATTTAATACATTTAATTTAATTTTTTTAATTTAATTTAATTTTATCATTTAATTTTTTTATCTTTAAATTTTTTATCTTTTTATCTTTATCTCAAAATTGATACTTTCAAAGTGCCAGCTAGTCGATGGCCGAAGATAAATGTCACCGAGAAGAGCCTTTAGTTCGAATCTGGCTGATACACCACACTTCTCCGGAGCCTAACAGAAAAAGGAATAGGAGTAAAATGGCTCAGCGGAACTACTCGAAGCGCTGATGATGATGTTCTATTTTTGGTAGGAGTAAACCTGTTCAAAAATTCGATTCACCTATATTTCTATCGCCAAAGGACATTCTAACTCCCTATTTACCTAGCGAATAATTAACCAATAATGGTTAATAGTCTTGGAGAAAAAAGATGAGACAAAACGCAAATTAGGAAAAAATCCTTCTCTAATCAGCTTTGAAACTTTTAATTATTTTTAAAAGTTTAAAATTGCTGCATAGAAAAGTCGTTTTGGAAAATTAAAAAGAAATATAGAAATAAAAAACTGACAACAACAGTCGCTTTTGATGGGAACGCCCAATAACAGACGAAGGTACCAATTTTTTCACATTCAACAAAACCATCGTCAACTAGTGACAGAGTGATTTCTTTAACTGATTGCGATACAATACCTTTTTGCTTAGGCGCAATTCTTTCCAATTCTTTCATCTGAAATTTTATAGTTCATTCAAAATTATTAAGAAAAATTATTAAGAATTATTAAGAATAAGTAAATTAAAATAAATAAATCGCTATATTCGTAATTTCAAAATGCCTATTTTCAAATGAAAATTTAAACAAATAAAATTATATATTCAAAATATTCTTTCTTTAATAAACTTATTATTAAATTAATATTCTTTAGTAATAGCCTTTAGTAGTCAGCGCTTTCATTTCTAATCAGGATAACTTCGCTGACAATAAGTAGGTTAGAAACCTTTGTCAAGGAGTGGCAAAATAGGGAATTGAGCCAGGGAGATCTTGATACAAAGTAATTTAAGGCAAATTACCAAATATCTTTATTTATTGCATATCTGAAACGTTAAATACACAGATATATTAAATTATCTATATGAAGTATACATATAAAAAAGATAAACCAGTAAACCCTCCGAATATAATTTTAGACAAAACAGTTAACTAAGAATATAGCTATGCAGATGATATCTACAAAAAGCGAAAGGTCTTTTTTAGCAAAGTTTCTTTCAAAAGTTGCTTAGGCTTAGGCTTTCAATAAATTCCTAAAATTATATCATTCTTAGAATATTGCTTTCAACATTCAATAAGCAGTTAGTTTATGGAATACCGTAGTTTGCATATAGCTGTTAATCAGTGCCGATTTGCTGAATGATCTTCTTCCTGAACAACTAGTAACCATCAAGCTCAAATAAATTTTAGGACCTACATTAAAACTTAAAAACTTAAAACGTAAAAAGGTAGTCAGAAAGTCCTTCATGATGGAATAAAACCGCTTGTTGAGATGGAACAAGAAGGATCTCAGCGTGACAAGAACTATAAACTGGGCCGTTCCAATGAACTTACTGAAATCAGAGTGAGTAATGATAAATTCGTCATCTTCTTAATTCAAATAAACAGCACAAGTGGACTATGACCTCGAATCTACCATATATACTTATTGCTATGTTAATTTGCGTTCTGTAGGACAACAGACTACTAATCTTAAATGATACTGCCCACAAGATCCTTCAACTATCTCAAATAAAAAATCCGGAGATAGCGAGCGCAAACCGAATTGTTGAAGCATCTCAATGGTGCAACATCTATGATTTTTCTGGAACGGCAAATGAATTTTGGTCTCAACTAAAGGAATCAACTACTTTTCGGAAATCGACAACTTCCACGCTAGAGCACTAATGCGCTAGATGAATATCGAAAGCAACTGTCTAAATGTCTGAAAAAGCTGTCAAAGCATGAATGTCGAGAGATCCTTAATACCGGATGGTTCGAAGAATTACAACGACAGGAAGGCGTGACAGGAAGGCAGAAATTGCTGCTGCAGCGGGTTCGGCCTTGAGAAGACGATGGCTCGATTAGGTGATAATAGGAAACTATTCCGTCTTCTTCATAAAGCAACTATAACTCGGGGAACGATCAGTGAAATGGTAAAAGACAGCAATGGCGTACTAATTAAAAGTATTAAGGATCGCCTCACAAGATGGAACGAATTCTTTGAGGCCAAACTTAACCATGAAGCACCATCTATTGCCCAAGACATAGACATACGTTCGTCAACCATACGTTTGCAATTGTGAGCCGCCAACAGAAGAGGAAATAATCGCGCTTAAGGCCAATAAGACTCCGGGAGATGGTCTTTGAGCTGAACTCTTCAAATGTTGTCCATCCTTCAAAAAATACTCTCTGGTATGGAAAAAATAAATATTACCAGATGACTAGAATATAGTAATTCCGCTTCCAAATCTCAGGAAAGGTGACAGGACATACTGCGACAAATCAGTCTAGACGTCTCAGCGAAAAAAATTTTCTTCTTCTGTTAAATAGACTCATGATAAGATAGCAGAATGCACCCTAATCAAACTGGATTCAGGCTGAGAGCGCTTGTGATGGCCACATATTCACGTTAAGAAGGGTGTAAAAAGGAACACCGTTTCAAATATCTGCAACCCACCGTTAGGTGTTTCATTAATTTTGCGACTGCTTTTGATTCAATTGATAGAGCGGCGCTTTGAAGGATGATAGAACGTGACGGTGTTCCATAGATTATTCGAGTCACCAAGGCATTTTATGAGCATATGTTGGCATACGTCTGTGTATATGGGGACTGAGAGAATCCTTTGAAAAAACGTGGTGTTCGTCAAGGCTGTATCATTTTCCCTACAATATTCAATTATGCAATAATAAATAATGGATGGACACCGCTTGTCGGCATTCAAGAGGTGTCCAAATCAGTTCAGAGAATCGTACCGCAGATCTTGAATACGATGATGATGTTGTCATCACGTGAATGCACGATGGTGTTCTTTTTGCTTCTTTTTGATTATGATGAAATATAAACAATGCTAAACAACGTGTCAATCAACCACTGAAGCAAAAACTGGATTCAGTGCCAATGAAATAAAACGAAAGCCTTTTCGTCTTATATAAGAAACTGATAAAATGCCATAAATTCATTGCGGGTTGAGGAGGTGCCCGATTTTAAATACCTAGGATCCATTCTAAAACCAAATGGCCAGGCAAAGGACGATATTACAACAAGGATTACGGAAGCTAGAAATGATTTCATCCGATTCATGAAACCTTTATGAAACCGTCATAAAATCACTATAAAAACGAAATAACGCATCAATATGGCCGTGATTCGTTCAATCTTGCTATGGGACTTCATTGGCGCTGAGACTTGGCCAAAGAGAGTGGAGGATATTAAAATTACGAGTCTGCCGAGCGTATTAAATATAAATTATAAATATACATATATAATATTATATATATATATATATATATATATATACATGATTGTATATATATATATATACATTTTCGTTTCGTTTTTCACTTGCATTAATAATGTTATCACAGGGCCTTGCTTTCATTGAGGTTAGAGAGTATGTTCTCCATCGCCCACCACAGGAGTTGACGCAAATTTCGTTACTTGCTAAATCCTGTGGTAATTGGCGTCAAAAGCGAGGAAGATTTGGAATGATACGGTCACAAAAGATTTTAAACGTATAGGTGAACCAGCAATATATGGACTCAGAAGCTGGAAAAAGGAATGGCTTTTATAACTTTTGATGATGGTCGTGCCGCTTGGAGACGTCTTACCCTCGTAGCCAGTGCAACCGGCCTAACCAGTAATGATGGGAGTTATCAAAAGAAAATGATATTGAATATTGAACTGTACATCTGAATTAAGAAGAATATATTATGTTACTGATGTTGAATTCACATCATAACAGCACTCTCTTTCTTTTTCTTGATCTGCTCATAGTAATCTGAGTTACCACAGAAACTCATGATAACGAGTTCTAACTCCTGTTCCGAAGTGATTGCAGAAAATTTTGTCCAAAATAAATCAGGTTTTCAGGTTTCTTCTGATAAACTTTAAACATTTGAAATAGTTTTGACATAGTTTTATATCTGTGCTATAGAATCGTTTAAGACCTAAACTTCTTAACCAGATCTTCACCATAAGAATAACTCCAAAACAGCTCATTTTATCAATTAATTTCTGAGTTTCATTGTTGCTTGCTCATAGTTGCTTCAACTTACTTTCAATATTTCTGAGGAAATTTTGAATACAATGTATGATCTCCTTGCGAGGATTTCAGTAACATTAGCTATTTAGACCAAAGAGTTTTTTTGTCAGAGCCTTCATCTTTTTACATCTTTTTGAATCTATATTTGTGTTAAAATTTCTTATAAAAAATTTCGAATACTCATTGTGATAACCAGATTGTCGGAATTAGAGTCGTGAGCGCACGAACATATGCAACCGTAGGCTATCTGCTCCAAGTTCATTCTATGTTCGTTGGAGAGATGAAAGTCATTTAACTGATACCAGACTTTTACTGTAAAATTGGTGAGAAAAACTAATTTTTGAGGTCTCTCTGACGCAAATTACTCCCTTCGCTCTCAATAAATTCAGCACTGCCTTAATGATCTTTAATGGCTTTTTATAAAGATATGGACAAAAGTTTTGCCTGAAAAAAGTCGTTACTCTCATAGAATAATTGCAAGAGACGTTCTCGCTTTTCTTCCACAGATAAACCTTTCTTCTTCGATGCCTATAAAGAAAAAAAATAATTCTTTCAAGAACAGAATAATCAAGAAGAAAAAAATTGGTAACATATGAAATTTGGCAATGTGGTTTAAACTGGTAAATTTCGAATAATTTGGCATTTTTTGCCAAAAATATATAAAAACCATTTGTTAAAACCCTTAAAATATATGAAAATTAAAAAATAAATTAAGAGCGATTTCAAAAAAAGCGAACCATTTTAATCGGAATTTAATTTTAAAAAATCTCTATTTCTGGGACAATAAATTCGCCTGAAAAAATTCACCCGAAGAATTTTTTGCACGGAAATTTCGCAAAGAAATCAGCATTTAACGCTTATTCGATAATCATGATAAAAAATATTACAAAAATTCGAAAAACGTAGAACGCATGCTTCGAGTGTACTGAGGAATTGGGCCGTGATCTTTGGTGCGAATATCAACTTTCTCACCAAGACTTGAACACTGTTCCAGACAGTCCATATGAAAAATATCCTCCCCACCAATCTCCCCCATCCCACCTCCCTTCTCCTCCCTTCCCTTATGTAGTAATTTTTGTTGATGCTAATTTTCAAAAATTGCTATTTATATATTGCTTTGAAAGGAGACATGGCCGCACCCTCCCTGAAATTACGGCCCATCGTAGTGATATGCGAATTTTATATCTGTATAGGCCTTGTGGTAAAATTGATGTTATTGAACTAAAAATTAAAAAAGCTATAGGAAAGTTATTGGTGATTGCTGACAGAAAAACGGGGAAGTAATGGGTTTTCCCAAAATTTGACATGGGTTCCACTCCTGGCAGTGCCCAGCAAATGCACATACAAAAGCACTGAGCAAGGAAATACAATTGCACTGCCTGCACCCCTTCTTCCTTTTAGATCGTCATTCTTGACTAATCGTCGTAACCTCTTCAG